TTATGGGAAAGAGAACGCTGCCGCCATTTTTGAGTTGTTCCTGGAGTGTATGCCTGAATACCCTCTGGACAAACCAGATAATGAAGGGAACACAGGTACTGTAGACAGCTTATTTTATGTTGTTGATTACAGTATACAAACAGCAGGCTGATATTAGTGGTACACTTGTAATAAAATGACTGTGACCTGTGTCTTATTGCAGTTCTGCTCCTGGCCTACATGAAAGGAAATGCTAACCTGTGCCGTGCCATCGTGAGAGCCGGGGCTCGACTGGGCATTAATAATAATCAGGGCATCAACATTTTCAACTACCAAGTTGCAACCAAACAGTTGCTCTTCCGCCTTCTAGGTAGGTTCTCACATGTAGTTATCTATCAGGCATTCACTATATATTAAAGGTCAAGTCCATCTGCCTTCATCTCTGTGTTTTTTAAATGGAAGTGTTCACTCAGCCGTTAGCAAAAAGCTATGACCTTGGTTAGAGCACTGACAATAATTATAACTAAAAGGGATAGTAAAGAGTTTTTGAAGCGGGGCTGTATCAGGTACTTTACAGTCATTGTCATTCATAGTCGGTGTATTACCTACACTAGATGGTGGTCGGCATGCCCCCAGTTTAGAGAAGGGGACAGGGAAGTGAAACTGTTAAATTGCTCTTTTCAAAGCCACCAGACTCCTTTTGACAGAAAAAGTCATTTTAGGGCACCCAGTAGCTCAGTGGTTAGAGGGGGCGTCCCATGTACAAAGGCATTGTCCTTGCTGCAGTGGCCATGGGTCCGACTCTGGCCTGCGACCCTTTGCTGCGTGTCTCCTTGCGTGTCTTGCTCATCTCCTCTCTCTCCTGCTTTCACACCTAAGTCTGTCCTGTCTAATAAAAGGCAAAAAAGCCAAAAAAAATCTTAAAAAGAAAAAGTAATTTTATCTCACAGACCGCAGGAGTTGCTGGTCTTAGTCGACTAGTCAATTAAACCTTGCTACCCTCACTAGTCAGCGCCAGAATTACTAGTCGAATAAACTGATAATACCCAGAGGAAAAATGGGGGGAGTTTAGATCGGCATGCAAGACCAGTGGCTCTGATCATCAACGGCTCTCCCTCTCTATCTCTTTGACACATGCATACAAACTCATGGGTGGCTTGAGATGCAGCTGCTAGATGGAGACATGATGTGTTTGGAGTAGGGATGTTCCTGGCAACTAATTTTGACCCACATGATGTTTTTTTTTTTTTAATCATTTGTTTAGATATGCTGTCCAAAGAGCCCCCTTGGTGTGATGGGTCCAACTGCTATGAATGTGTTGCCAAGTTTGGTGTTACAACACGGAAACATCACTGGTTAGTCTTTTTTATTATTCTCTCCGTTATTTCTCACGTCGTCCTCATCTTGTGTCAGACTGTGTGACTAATCCTGTGTCTCCTCCTCAACTCCAGCCGCCACTGTGGGCGCCTGTTGTGCCACAAGTGCTCTATAAAGGAGATCCCCATCATCAAGTTTGACTTGAACAAGCCGGTGAGGGTGTGTGACATCTGCTTTGATGTACTAACTCTGGGTGGGGTGTCGTAATGCAGCGGCCTGGATATCCTCCACCCTCTCAGTTATTCAGGCACACCAGGAGAAGGGACATCAGTAGCAGGACAGTTATGGACCATCACCTTTATACTATTTCAGTCTATGAAAAAAAAACGTAATGTTCTAGAGGGACGTTTCAAATAGAAAGTGAAACATTGTCTTTTTGTTTCTGTTTTGATCTTAAAGTGGATATAAGACAGAAGCGCTCCAGCTCCATGACGGCTGGGCTCTTTGTTAATCAGTTTTCCAAAATGTTTGTAATTATTGTCACAAGCAGGACGTTTCAATCCAATGATGAACATTTAAATCAAATCACAATTAGAGTTTTTTCTGTTCCTCTTCTCTGTTGCGATATTTCACCATCAGCAGCCTTTATGCTATGTGACCTGCCCAAAGACAAAAGTTCAATGCTACACAATGCTGTCAACCAAGAGCAGAGTAAATGTGTACAATTGCCCTAGATCACTTACAAGGACTGAACTATCAGCATGTTCTCTGTAATCTTTCATCTTTCACTCTTCTGTCACCCAAATTCTGTGTTGACCGGATAAAGTAGGACAGACGAGGAGGATTTAAAGGGAAAGCAGCTTTTGTTTTAAATAAATGAGCATCATCAAATGAGATCTAATCTAGTTAGATCCAGTATTATTACAGTGAAATTGTTTTACTTTACTGTCGGAGGTGAAAAATGGCAAATCTGGACGAGGATGGAATTCCTCATGAAACTGAGTTGTTTTCCACAGAAGCCTAAATGGCAAAGATTCATACATTTTATTATTATGTTTTCTCAAGATCACTTTGTCATTGAGGTCCTTATCTTGAAATAACATGTTTTCTCAAGATAACAAGATTATTTTGTCAAGTTAAAGAACCTTTTTTTGTCACTAGATAATGACATAATTCATTTGAGATCACATCAAAGCAGTGTTTCGTAAATTAAACTCAAAAGGCCATTGTGTCTCGAGATCTCCACCAAACTTGACATGCCAAGCTGACATGCTTTGATTGGGCCGCCGATAAGGCTGAGTCTTGCTTTAAGGTATTCTTAGATGATGCCATAGATGTGTAAAGAGAAATGGATACAGCTGTGGAGACGGGGCCTCGCTCAGGGCCTCGCTCATTCCTGTAAAAGTGGCGTATGAAGCCTAAAACGTTTGACCCAACACTGCTATTTCAGGCCTGGTCACTAGAATAAAATTTTGGCATTGCATGTTTCTACAAACCACAGATATCTTACAGTTGTACATTTTGTATGTGTCCCATCAAAGTTTCTAAAGTGAAGCAGTCTTGATAATATGAGCTGATTTTCTAAGACAAGATGGAGGAGACAGTGGACGATGTGACACTTAGGCAAGACAGCTGCCAAACTGCGGACCAATGTTCGTGCAAACAAAACCTCTGCGAACATCTGTGGTATTTCTAGGCGTGATTGTGCCACTAAAACCCGGAATTTTAAGTCAAAACATGATCCCTTCCCTTAACCAATTGGTTTTTGTGCTTAAACATAACCACACTTTAACCACAGCGTTGTTGAAACATAAAGAAACATAGAGTTTCTTAACGCATTCTTAGATGATGCCATAGATGTATAAAGAGAACTGGATACAGCCTTGGAGACAGGGTGGTGCATGAAGCCTTAAAAGTTCGACTTCTCAGGTATAAAATTACCCGGATCTTCTGCATCATTGGGCCCAAAGAGCAGGCGCAAGAGAGACTTTCCCTGGCTGAGCAGCTAACTTACGATTTAGCCCTCCACTGACTTGAAACGGGGATGAAATTATTTAATTGTGCAGCTTTTCTAGACTTTCAAAATGTTAACAGACCAACCTGATCAAATCCTGACGGTGAAATGAGTCATTAGTACAGGTTTGAGCTCAGATAAATGTATCCACCCATTTACAGACATATCAATCCAAATGTAAGTCCGTGAGGAAAAGTCTTTTTCAGTCCCATGGCAGACATAACCCTTCAGTTATAACTTCACTGTATGGCCACTGTGTAAAATTGGCTTCAAAGCCCAGCGCTATTCCTGGTGTATGGATGACGCACGGTAATATGTATTTCATCTATAACAGTAAGACATAAAGTAAGTTCAGCCTGTGTTAGGCCAAAATTGAAAAGAAATGTAATGTGATGATTTATACGCTCTTGTTCATCTGACAACAGCTGTTTTTGGACAGAAGGAACTTTTTAATAGTTCTAAAAAGCCCCGTTTGTTTTCTCTGCACCACAATAACTAGGAACAATCATAGTTCTTTTAACGACATTTTTAGGGACATTTTTTATCTCCTACTTGACAGTAGGTACCCTCCCAAAACAACTGAATCATGAGTGATGTTAAGTGTAAGGTGATTGGTCAAACACAGCCAATGGAGCACCGACAACTCCTGATTTAAAAAAATGATCAGCCGTTAGCCATGTAAACAACAGCTCAAGAAGAAAAAATGGAAGCAAACACGACAAATGGGCAAATCCAGGCTTTACAGAGCATAAGTGTGACGTGGGAAATACAGTGTGATTTTGACTCATCATAGCTATTGAGTGGTAGACTGGCCGACGTCACATCAGAGTTCCTATTGGCAGTGCGATTGCAAACAGAAAAAAAGCCCTTGAAGGCCTGATGTTCTCAGGGGAGCTCCCTAGTGGGTAGTTCCTTTCTGGTAGTCCCCAGAACTGTTTAGTGCAATGGTTCCTGCAACGATACAGGCTTTAAATAGACAAGGCTACTTTATCTCAAGTTCACAAAGTGTTGTCTTTCTTGAGAAATGATCTCAGGAAAACATTTGGTATTTTGAGATAATGACATGTATGACTTGTGATCTTGAGAAAACAATATTAATTTGTTACCAAGGGAAGATGAAGGGAATAAAATGTCTGAATCCATGGCTGTTTGGGGCGTCTGTAGTTTGTCTCTATGATTGGCACATCGTCTATCATGTGTAGCCATCGTCATAATCATAAATCATATTTCAAAACCAGTCACCAAATGATTACATTCCATTTTTATTATCTGCCATGAGGTCCTCGTTGGAAGTCTTGATCCCCACAATGTTGCCTCAAGTCAAGTCGTTGTCTTGACCTCATCACATTTAACGCTTCTTGATTTCTAAGCCTAACAGGTGCACTTTATCAAGATCACGACATTTCCGATCATTGGGGAGAATGTGGAGCAGAGGGACGGCCGAGTAGTGGGGCCTCTTTAAGTATTGTTAAATTGTACAGATAAATGTGTGATATTTTTGACCACTACAACTGTTTTGTACTTAAATGCAGTTTGTGCTTGTCATTGTGACAAACCTAAATCTTGCCTCTGTTAATCTTTTATGCACATTGTTTAATCTTTTATGCACATTATATTGTATCTGTATGCTCAGATATCTAGCCTGTCTCTTCCTGGTGTATCCTTTTAGAGAAAGGGAGGACAACTTTACATAAAGGTCATCAAAAACTAATGCATTGACTTCTTCTTCATTCTTGCTCTTTATTGTGAATAAGTTAGAAGTATGGAAGCACATTTCTGTCAATGTAATGCAAAAAAAGATCTTGTAAGTCATTGAAATGACTCAAAATAATGACTTTACATTTCTAAATAATGAGGAGCTTTCTCAATATTATGACTTAGGCCTACCATCACAAAGTTGTATGCACCAGGTGAAACATTTCTCTTTTTTTGCAACACTTTATCATTATCTTTAGATATGTCATTATTTTTGAGAAAGTTTGTCATTATTTTGCAATACTAAACAAAACATTTTGAGATTTTCAAGTTTTTTTTTTTCAGCGAAATCGTTATTTTAATGACATTTCTCTTTATTTTGAGATACTAAGTCATTATTTTGAGGAACTTTCTCATTATTTTGTAATACTAGTGAGATTTTTAAGTCATTACTTTGGGATATATTATTCTAAGAAAATTTCTCTTAATTTTAAGATTAGTTTAATTTTAAATTAATTTTAAGACTTAATATCTCAAAATAATGACTTAGTATCTCAAATAATGATCTAGTGTCTTGAAATGACATGTATCATGAAATAATGTCATTAGTATCTTAAATAATGAGAAACTCAATAATCACTCACAAAATAATGATAATTAATATTATAATAATGATAATAAATATTAAAATAATTACTTAGTATTTCAAAATAAAGGGGAAATGTTTTTAAAAAGTGATTTATCTCTTTATGATGTAAAATATAATAATGAGCTAGTTTTCAAAATAATGAGAAAGCTTTTCAAAATAATTGCTTAGTATCTCAAAGTAACAAATTAGTATGTCAAAATAATGAGAAACTTTCTAAAATAATGATTTTATATCGTAGAATAAAGAGAAATTATCCAAAAAAAATGTATCTCAAAATAATGACCTAGTATTACAAAATATAAAATGATAATGACTTACAATATCTTTTTCCTCTGTCATCACTTTGGCCAAAATGGGTTTCCTTATAGAGTCCCTGAGTATTGTGCTGCTAAAAGCAGTCCATGATGAAGTCCAGGTTTTGGGCCGGCCCAGCGGCTAGAACTCTTCAACAGTGCATGACTCAGCATGTGCAGGGCAGCCGTCGTATTTCTGCAGGTTGGGGTCTTCCTCTGCTGCAGGTGGGTCTTCAACACAGACACAACGAACACTGCTGGAGCCTGGCGAGAAGAGTTTCCGTGGGACACCTGTCCAGCCTCTTTCCACTCCACCGCTGAAGGAAAACAACAGAACAGTCCTGATAATTCCCACTAGTGCCAGACATGCTCTATTACAAGTCAGCAGTACATCACAGCATCTCATCTTATGCCCTGTAGGCTTGTTAATATTTGATTAGAGCAAAACTATTTCCATACCTCTTAGTGGAGCACCAGACTCTTCCGCCCCTGGCAGCACTCCACTCTGCGTTGCATGCTGGGAAGCGGACCTTATCGGCCTCAGACTGGGCCTTTATTCGCCGGCCCTCTGCTAGTGATGCTTCTACCTGCAGCAGGGCCTCTGTGGGCTGTCCGGTCTCACTATAGAACCGGCCTGTTAACAGACCTGAAGGTAAACACAGGTGGATGTTGGTTGGCTGGTTGGCTGTTGATAGATGTACACTGATAAGGAGACATTCGGTGAAACAAGCTACTGCAATTCAAAGGATGTTTCCATGTGTAGACTCAGCTTGTGACAGATACTGAGATAAAGTGGCTCACTAGTTTATTCTGGATACTCTGGAGTTGTCCAACCATCGGGAACACTGGCTTATTTTTTCAGCCTTTCTCTGACATTTTGGAAGGACCTATTCTGATTTCTGGTGCTAAGTACCCTGATGTAGTGCTGTTGCAGAATCAAAAAAAGGTACTAGCACCTGATGAGGAACTTTACAACACCCTCAATTAGAAAAAAAAAATTGGAGTGTTAGACACTTATTTATACATAATTTTAATAAGGTCTGTACACATGCCATCTATTGCACATCTATCTGTCTAGTGAGCGGGAACCTTCCTCTGTTCATCTTTCTGAGTTTCTTCCAATTTTTCCCCCTTAAGGGTTTTTTGAGGGAAATTTTTCCTTATCTGAAATAAGGGTGGAAAAAGCCCCTCAAGGCAAATTTGTGATTTGGGATGTTAGGTTATATAAATAAAACTGTCTTAACTTAAATAAAGCTGTACAGCACCTGTACAGTATAAAGGATGAAAAATAACTTAAGTAGCAATATATTAATGGATAAATACAGGAATAAATGCATAAATATGGAAATAAATAAAAGGCCAAATAAATGCTAAGATGAATAAATGACTTTGCACATTTCTCCACAACTACCACTTCTAAAAACTTTATTGTCATTTTAATTCAGGTATATTGTAATTTTTTCTTTTGATTTTTTTCCATATTTTTTTACGTTACTTAATTCTATTGGGCGGCACGGTGGTGTGGTGGTTAGCACTCTCGCCTCACAGCAAGAGGGTTGCCGGTTTCGATCCCGGGCGTGGGAGCCCTTCTGTGCGGAGTTTGCATGTTCTCCCCGTGTCAGCGTGGGTTCTCTCCGGGCACTCCGGCTTCCTCCCACAGTCCAAAGACATGCAGGTTAATTGGTAACTCTAAATTGTCCGTAGGTGTGAATGTGAGCGTGAATGGTTGTTTGTCTCTATGTGTCAGCCCTGCGATAGTCTGGCGACCTGTCCAGGGTGTACCCTGCCTCTCGCCCGATGTCAGCTGGGATAGGCTCCAGCCCCCCGCGACCCTCAAGAGGATGAAGCGGTTAGAAGATGAATGAATGAATAATTCTATTGTATATTTATCGCTTTATTTTTGCAATACTTTTTTCTTTTTTTTTTTACAATGTTGTGCACCAATATACACATAATTAAACAAGCCATAAATAAATAAATATCTTAAATTTATTCTACATTTTTGTAAACTATATCTATGTCTGTGTCTGTATGTTAATGAGGTAGGCATTTATTTATTTATTTCCATATTTATTTCAGCATTTAAAAAACACTGTATTTATTGACTTATTTCTGTATTTATTTATTTATTTATTTATTATTGTATTTATTTATCCTCGTGTCATTTTTCATCCTTCATAGATCTTATCGTTTAAGATGCTTGAAAGGTACCTGATGACTAAATTTGTTGAGGAAGAAATGCATGTGCTGTACCCAAAATTTCAAATGGTAAGAGATTGGGGGACAAACGTAACGTACCTGCAAACTCGTACTCCCTCTGGTAAAAGGCCAGCCAGTCATAAAGGGCCATCACCTGCAGCGGGGACAGACTGGACACATCATCTGTCAGGCCACTTTCTGTGAAGTCTCCGGTGATGAAGGACAGTGAAGCATCTCTTCCTGAAAATGCAGACACATTCTGTATAAAGACCATTGCAGTGTACGGGATACTAATGCACTGTAGCTCTGTATATGCTGTTATTAGACTGGAATTCATGTCCCTGATTTAGCCAAAACATTAAAACCACTGACAGGTGAAGTGAATATTATTTTATTACAATGCATTGTTCTGCTGGGAGACCTTTGGTTCTGGTATTCATGTGGATACCACCTGACATGTTCCACCCACTCAGACACCATTGCAGTACCAAGTACCCCCCCCCCTCCCTTTATGGCAACAGTATTCCCCAATGGTAGTGCCCCCCCTCCCAGCAGAAAAAAAGCAGCATGCCAGACTACAAAAACTGTTCATAAATGATCTGTGGAGCGTGAGAAAAAGCTCAAGGTGTCGACCTGGCTTCTAAATTTCCCAGGTCCCAATCTGTTCAAGGATTCTTGTGATGTGCCAGTACCCCTGATGTACCCCTAATCCAAGGTGGGGCCTCCTTGGATCGGACTCATCTGACCTGTCAAGGCATGGACACAGGATCTCTGGGAGTGTCCTGCGGTGTCTGGCACCAGTGTGTTGGCGGCAGATCCATTTAGTCCAGTGGGTTGTGAGGTGGTTTTATGGCATGTGCCACAGATGCTCATTCAGATTGGGATCTGGGGAATTTGGAGGCCAGGTTGACACTTTGAGGTCTTTGTCACATTCCTTGGGCCATTCCTGAGCAATGTTTGTAGTGTGGCATGGTGCATTATCCTGCTGGGGGGCCACTGCCATTAGGGAGTACTGTTGCCATGAGGGGGGGGTACTTGGTCTGCAACGGTGTTTGAGTGAGTGGAACAGGTCAAGTGGTATCCACATGAATGCCAGAACCAAAGGTTTCCCAGCAGAACAATGCATTGGAACCTTTCTCTGTCCTTAATAAAGTTATTATTATTATTATTATTATTATTATTATTATTGTATTTTTTTATTACACAGATGCATTATTATTATTATTAGCCTGTTATTAATATTTTGTTTAAATAGGGAAAAACAAAGTCTCATACATCTAAACTTGAAAACGGGTTAAAAATTTAAAGATCTCTCTGTAGGTAGGTGTGTGCTGTTACAATCAACACAATATAGGCACATAGGAGAAGAGGTGAATCACCTGCCATAAAGTGATACGCTCCACCGGGTCCATAGTGCTTGTTACCCTTGTGTACATCAAAAACTTGGCCCAGTATGGCCAGGTAAAGGCCCTCACTGCCTTCCCTCCCGTCGTACAGTGATAACTCACGGCTGCCCAGGAGCCGCACGGCAGCAGGGGGCTCCTGATGCTTGCATCCAGATCCAAAAATAACGGACCAGTCACGAGGAATGTACAAAACTGCCAGCGCTAAAACCGCGACCATTACATAGCCCAGCATGCTGTTCAATTGAGCGTTTCACTATTACACCCATTTATTACATCATATTCCGTTTGTCTGTAAAATAGTGACAACACCACAACAAAACAAGCACTTCCGTGTTCGGGCACACCACAGCGCATGCGCTCACCAATAAGGCAAAGGCCGTTCCAGGCACGTTGACGTACAGTACGTAACGTCAATGCGGTAGTAGTGAACGGCGGAGCTCTAGCTGTAGGTTAGAGAGGTCTGTGTACAGACCGGTACAACCGTCGCAAAACTGACCCCCCGGTGGGCCGCAGAGATTTTCGGGGAGCCCTCGGTCGGTTAAACAAACATGGGGAACGCGGAGAGCGGCTGCGGTGGAGGCAGCGGCGACGAGGACGACGTGGAAACAGAGAGCCCCGGCTTCGCGGAAGACAGTCCGGCCTCTGCGGCCACCGCCGTCGGTGTCGGAGGCGGTGGCGGTGGCGGCTCCGGTTCTGGGAGAAGCGGAAGGGGATCGAATAACCTGCCCGTGCCCACCGGTGGACCGCCCAGCCCCGGTGTGCTCCTGGAGCAAGTGAAACTGAGGGAAGCGGCGGCTCGCATTAGCGACTCGGGTGTCGCCATTCGGGAGTCTGTCCTGGCTGGGAACGAGGGTGTCCTGGTGCGGTGGCTGGAGGACCGGTTAAACCGAGGAGAGGAGTCCGTCAATGTGGAACAGTTCTGTGAGATGTTGGAGAGCAGAGATGCCCCGAGAGATGAATGTGAAGAGGTATAGAGCCAGAGAAACACAGAGAAGTCATGTGGACTGCCATTAACCGTCTATAGTCTTGTTCTTGTCCCACATGAGGATGGAATAGTTGATAGCTGTTTTTTTATTTAACTAAACATAAATATAATAAAAATTCAATATACAGGAGAAAATATAGAAACAGAGCACTAATAAAAGAGCTTCTACAAAAAATATTAAACATATAGATATTTAGTGCCTTTTTTGTTAGTTCAATTAGAAAGTAGTTTCTAGTAATTATACTGCTAAATCTACAAAATTTTGCCATCATTATCAAATTTAATATAAAAAAATCTACTTATTTTCTAGGGTTTTGAAGAAATCAAACACAACACTTTCCCATAATAATATAAAGTTTTGAAAGATATCATTAACCACAACTTTCTAAGGGTCTGTCAGATTGTTTTGGTTTCTGTTTTTGAATTTTCATCACAGAAACAGCAGTTTGTGTTTATGTCTTTATTTATTTCTGCATGCCGTGGTTGGCAGTAACATATGAATTAATTCAAAGGACACCACCTTAACCTTGATCATAATTAGGTCTATTTATTCGAAAGCCTCCACACCTTCCTCCAACAAACCCATTCCAATATGGAGGGTTGATGGCTGTTTTTTTATTTAATTAAGCAAAACAACACAACACAGATCCAGTATACAAATAGAACAATAACTAAAGACCCAGGGGTGTATCACACTAGACACAAATACTATAAACCAACAGATATTAAGTGTCTTGGTAGCCTTTTTTGTTAGTTGAATTAGAAACTAGTTTCATATATTTAGATCCCCCAGAAAAACAACAAAATAAGTTGCTAAATTTACATTTATGAATTTAAAAAAGAACACCACATTTCCCTCTGATAATATAAAGTCTTTAAAGATATCATCAAACAAATCTGAAGAAGCCTTTCCAAAATTTCTAGGTTTCTATTTCTGAATACTCATCTCAGAAAGAGCACTTCATGTTTATTTTCTTTCTCAGTTTCTGCATATAGTAATTGGCAGGGGGATAATTATGAATAATTTTCCAGGACATCTCCTAAAATTTGTCATGATTAACAAACAACCAGAGCTTCTTCCAATATATATATAATTTACAGACAAGGTTGGGGGTAAATTGATACAGTATAGTATCGCAATGTTTTACGTGGCAGTACTGAATGGAAACACGGACACCATGTATCCATTTTTTAATTATGGGAAACATTAATACTGTAAATATGAATTCAACTTTTTTTGTAGTTTACTGGAATAATAAAATCAATTACTTTTTTAGTCCACTAGATACATGTTGCTGCAATAAAAATGATTAATTTACAGACCAAAATTGAAATAGATGTTGATCAAGTTTTCCTTTTTCAGGAAATAATTTGCAATTGCAAGAAAATGGTAATAAATCGCAATAAATGTTATCACAATTCTCAGCATATCGTAAAATGTTTAAAATCACAACCATATTGTACTGTGATTTAAGTATTGCGATAACATTGTATTGTGGTGCCACTGGTGATTCCTGGCGATTGCCATTTTACAAACAGATTCCAATATCACATGACATGTATGTAACTGGTTTGACAGCTGTTTACATGCCCATGCACGGTGAGTGATAAATAAATATGAGAACCTGTAATCTGTTGAGTTATCTAGAGGGTGTGCAGTGAGTCAGACGAATGAGCTCTCCTGATGTCACCTTTTATTGTCACTGGGTTTTCAGCTTTGGCCTCCTGTAGTCCAACACACCGCTTTATTGTCTGTTGGCTGACATTTGTTGTTCAACCAAAGGTTGCAGATGAATGGGATTGACTAATGAATGTGTACTTCAGTCTGCATTTGTCTTTGTGTGGGTGGACATGGAATGCCTTTACATACTATAGGCTACATTGGTTCAAATATTCCAAACACTGCGGGCATTTAGATGTAGAGCTACTGCCTATTTTTTCTTTTCAAAAGATGTTCAACAGATGTAAAATATATGTAGAACTTAATGAAATGAGATAGTGGTAGAGCATATTACGTGCCCCATGAATGATACCAATTATCCATGTATGTTTGTGTCGGTGTGCAGGAATGGGAGTGACTGTGTTGGTATATAAAGTGTCATAATGTGTACTGTGTCTGTCCCTGTTTCAGGCCTTTGGACAGTTCGATGCAGAGGGGGATGGGGTGGTGGATGTAGAGAGCATGCTGATTGCTCTGAAGAACTCCAATGGAGCTAATCTGAAGGGAGAGCTGAGTCATGTGATAAGACAGCTGCAGGCATGCTCCCTAACGCCAGGTATGATTGTTTACTGATCCTTATTTGGATATGTGTTGTCAGCAGTTAACAGAGGAGCTAAAGGAATAGTTTGGACTTTTGGAATTGGGGTTCTATGAGGTTCTTATCCATAGTCAGTGTATTACCTTCAGTAGATGGTGGTCGACACACCCCCAGTTTGGAGAAGCAGGCAGGAGTACCGCCATAGAAGCTAAGCAATGTACTGCTGTGGATGGGGGCAGCAGCAAAACATATCAGATTAAGTGTGCGCTATATTTAGAATATTTTCACTGCTTTACCTTGCCATCAGACAGCCCTTTCTGACCAGACTCCTTTGACAAAAACTGTAATTTTACCTCGCAGAACATGTGTCTTAATCAGTTTGTTTGTTTGTGTTATACCCTTTTCCACCAAAATTAGAGTGTATTTGCAGGTTTTTTAGGTGTGGGAAAGTAGAGCCATGTCTGCAGTAGACAATATGCCTTTCTATTTTTCTTTACTGGTGTGGCACATTTGGTGTCATAAACGTGCTGGAAAACAGGGTGTATAAACAGTAGAGAGCAGCGTGGAGCCCAGTGAAAACGTTACGGTGGTTACTATTTTTTATATCTGTTACTGAAGGCAGGGATACTCTTGGGACTCTTTGGGCTACTCTTGTGTCTACCTTTGAGCGATGTTAAAGGGTGCAGAGGCTGGTTGCGCCTGATGTTGCTAAGCGACAGTAAGACGCACCATATCATAGCTCCTTACCAGAAATCCAGAATGTGTAGCTGACCTTCTTCCAGGCATTGTTTTAAGCAAGTATTGGGCCTAAAAGGTTGTCCATGGGACAGATGCACCAAAATGATCCACTTATTATTTACACTGATCAGCCAAAACATTAAAACCACTGGTGGGTGAAGTGAATAACATTGATCATCTTGTTACAGTGCAGTATTCCATTGGGAAACCTTTCGTCCTGGCATTCATGTGGATGCTACTTGACGTGCTCCAGCCACCCGAACACTGTTGCAGACAAAATAAACTCATGGCAACGACACTTATTGATGGCAGTGCCCCCCCCCCCCCCCCCAGCAGGACAATGCACCATGCCACATCACAAAAACTGCTCAGGCAGTACCCGAGGAACGTTACAAAGAGCTCAAGGCATTGACCTTACCTCCAAATATCCCAGATCCCAACCTGATTGAACATTTGAGGGACGTACTGTTACCTCAGAGGTACCCCCGATCCATGGTATGTGCTCCTTGGACCGGACGTGGCTCTGACCTGATAAGGCATGGACACAGGACCTCTGAAAGGTGTCCTTTGCCATCTGGCATCAAGGCGTTAGCTTCAGATCTTTTGAGTCCTGTGGGTTCTGAGGTGGGGCACCAGCATGTCCCACAGATGTTTGATCAGATGGGGATCTGGTGTATTTGGAGGCCAGGTTGATGCCTTGAGCTCTTTGTCACGTTTCTCGGACCATTCCTGAGCAGTTTTTATGGTGTGGCATGGCGTATTGTCCTGCTGGGTGGCCACAGCTACTGGGGAGTGCCGTTGCCATAAAAGGGGTACCTGGTCTGCACTGGTGTTTTAGTGGGTGGAGCGTGTCAGGTGGCATCCACACGAATGTCAGAACCGAAGATTTCCTCAACAGAACATTGCACTGTTAACAAGATGATCATAGTTATTCACTTCACCTGTCAGTGGTTTTAATGTTTTGGCTGATCGGTGTATGTAGTACAGACTAATATTTACAGAAGAAAGGGAAGACGCCTAACAGCTGTGATTGGTTGTTCCTCGTCACTTGACATGCAGTGCATGTTGCCCTTGCGCCCTGAGAAACAGACGCTTGGGAGCGTGTTACTTTTGCTTTTGAGCGCACCCTCTGCACGCCTACACTGAAAACAATGGATTTGAGGGCACAAAGAATGTGGCATGTGTACGGGCCCTTACTCAGTCCCCCTTTCAAACTCAGTGCCAACTAATTTGGAACACTGTATGAGTGCTGCTTGGATGGAGACTGATTGTATTTTGTGGCAGCGTGTCATTGCATCACTCAGGAAAAGGGGTGAAAAATTGTGTGTGCACCAGGTTGTTATATTTTCATCCCTGCTGATCA